AAGTACTAACTTAGCACTGTGTGTGTGTGTAATAAAAAAATAATAATAATAAACTGTTTATTAATAGAGTTGCAGCCGGTGGCTGAAAATATACACTTACATTACATGTGTGCGTAAAAAAAAAAAATAATAAACTGATTAAGAGTTGTAATGTGGCTGAAAAAACACAACATTTGTGTGTGTGTGTGTGTGTGTGTGAGTGTGTGTGCAGAAACAGTTTCAAACTCTAGTTCTTACCTTTACTAGAACACATGTTTACACTGAATACACATGAAGTCCTTGATATTCAAGCATCTTAGCAGCTAGAAAAGGAACAACTGTTCCAGAAACACATAAAAGTCGCCTAACATCGCAGTAAAGGGGACAGCATGGCGATACAGCTCTGGACAGGTTGGCAGCCCTAAAAATTAAAAACAAATAATAATACAATAAAGCTAAAGCAGCAAACATATGAAAACGGGTCCCATAGATTTGACAGCCTGTTAGTAGCAGTGTAGATATAAGACACTGGTGACTTAAGTCTTTTTTCATTACAAAGGAAGTACTGTACTGTAGTATGGACAGCATTGCACTCTAAAGCCTTCACTTCCACAATTGTTAAGTTTAGTTCCATTCACATATTCACTTAGCTGCCACATCCTTAATAAACCCATAGTCTACACATAATGTTTCTTGGTTAATATTTTGGCAACATGACAATCACTAAAACAGGAAGCTACTAATAATAATAATAATTACAGCACAGTAAAGCCTCCGATAACGCACGGTTCTACTAACAACGATTCATATTAAAACCCTGGTTAATTTAGGACCCAATTCAATTTACCCATTATTTTCTTCAGATTTACAATAATTAAAAAACTAAAATAAAATTATATTTCATATAATAATAACTAAATCCTGATATATAGTGAACCTCACTTACGCGTCAATTGAACCCACTAAGGCCCAAGTAAAGTGAACAACATAACATGGGATTAATTGAAATAGAGACCGCTGACCCAGACTCACTTTTTCCGACACAATACCTATGTTCTAGTAAAAATAACATCTTAATTTTATGATGGAACAACACACAATTAATATTTAAGAGAAATAAGAAATACAGTCGCCATTAATGTCCATTCAAATAATGGACTTAACTCCTCCCTCTTTCTCTCACTCCGCTGGCTCTTCCTCTGAGAAATGTTTGGGGAAAACACTAGATTTTAAGGTATAGTAATAAATAATACCTCAGACTAAAGTTAGGATAATATAATTGACATTGCTGGATTCCTTGTAAGACCAGGAATATTTTGAATATAAATGTCATATATTTTGCACAAAAGATAACATATTTACTCAGAGTAAACAAAATACTTAAAGTAGATCTAAAATTTGTATGTCTAATGCAAAATCTATGATGTTTATATTCAAAATGATCATCAAATTGTAAGAATTCCAGCAATGTAAATTATATTCTGGCCCGGTAATTTGTATGAATTTTATGAGCTAAAACAAATATCTTCAATAAATAAACAAAATATACTTACCGAAATACTATCTGTCAATCAAAATACCCCACCTCCCCCCTCTTCCCACCTGCTCCCTGGGTCCCTCCCTCCCTCCCTACCCCTCACCCCCACCTTCCCTCCCTACCAGAGAAATGATTGGGTTATAACAGTATATTTACATTTTTAGTAATAAATAATACCTCAGACTAAAGTTAGGATAATATAATTGACATTGCTGGATTCCTTGCAAGACCAGGAATATTTTGAATATACATGTCATATATTTTGCACAAAAGATAACATATTTGCTCAGAGTAAACAAAATACTTACATTAGATCTAAAATTTGTATGTCTAATGCAAAATCTATGATGCTTATATTCAAAATGATCATCAAATTGTAAGAATTCCAGCAATTTAAATTATATTCTGGCCGGATAATTTGTATGAATTTTATGAGCTAAATAAAAAAATTATACTTCACCCGCGTATATGAGTAGATGCACCGCGTAAAGTGGGAATTCCGGTTCTGGCAGGTTACCGTGTAAATGTAGAAACGCGTAAAGTGAAACCGCGTAAAGCGAGGATTCTTTGTATTGTACTGTATTCTGTATTCTTAAATTTCATATGCTAATTATGTACAACAAATGCGTAGAGTTATAAGATAAAGTTGAAAACAGGAAATGATAAATGCAGGAGAGTGTGAGTGTAGATCATCTGACTAACAGTAGCCTTTGCACCAGGTAAACAAAGCAGAGTGGATTTAGGATGATGCAATAACTCATCAAGGGTCACCCAATGGATTATTTTGGGAGATAGTGGTCTCCAGTTATAGAATGGAAATACTGTACAGAACTGTATATGTATTACAGTACTACAGTAATATCTTTATTATAGATGATGACTTAGCATTTCATACAGCTCACTGTTAAATCACAACCGGTTTCTCGTAAGAACAAGTATAAAATTATGACTGAGCTCTACCTTGTACTGTACTATACAGTGATATCTCCATTAGCCAGAACAATTGGTGCAGAACACTTCTGGGAATGAGAGATTTCCAGGCACCGAGACGACTCTCTCAAAGCCGGAAAAAATCCCTCATCCCTGGAAATTTTCCGGGTAACAGAAAACTTTTCTCAAATGCTCCAGAAATTGCTCATTACATCATCTCTCGAACCCGGAAAAATAACCCCCATCTCAGGATTTTTTTGGAAAATGCGCCTGATTTTCATCTCTCAAACCCAGAAAAAAATCTCGCATCACAGGAAATTTCCGAGTACAGTAGGGTCGGGATATATAGCGACTTTATATAAAAAAAATTTTATATCGTGGCTACCAAAATTATCGCAATTTTCCTATACAGCTCCTCGACTTACGACGGGGTTAGGGACCCAAATCCAGGTCGTAAGTCGAATTGGTCGTAAATAAAAAATGCGAAGATAATACATAGAAAATCTAAAATGGGTGTCTCTTTTTCTTCTCAGCACCATGAGAACTCTCACTTTTAAGCTTGCCAGCCATTTTAAAGTGAATTACAAACAAAAATTTTGTCAATACACGGCGCAATCACTCACGTCGGGACTCGAAAATACGTCGTTTTAAAAATTTTTGGTACGACTGGGGCGGTCGTATGTCCGGGTGGTCGTATATCAAGTAGGTCGTAAGTCGAGGAGTGGCAGTATATAGCGATAATTTTTTTTTATTTCACGAGGGAAATCATGCAGGAAATATTTCAAATTTATCACGACTACCAAAATTATTGACATTTTCCAATATATAGTGATAAATTTATTTACAGTAGACTCTCAACTTACATGGGGCTATGTTCCTAGGTCTTCACACAAAGCCAAAAACAGTATAAAGTCAGAAACACTCCTAGAAATCCCCTAAATCACACCAAAAATACGAGTTGAATTTATTTTATCTCCCATGCAAAATATATGACGTCTATATTCAAATTATTCTCTGTCTTACAAGGATTCCAGCAATGTACAGTAATTTATATTCTGCTAACTTTAGACTGCACCATTTCATGTCAAGTTTAGTCACTTTTATTGGCCTCCAGAACCTAACCCTATTTTCCCCATTGATTACATGTAATTATATATCGCGATGTAATATACAGTAGGTTCTCAAATTTTGCGAGTTTTTAATTCGTTTTTTATTTGGACACAAAAAACTACACAATTTCAAATTTCGACGGCGGAAACTCGAATTTCGACAGGTTTGAGCGGCCCGCCAGATAGTTCTTAGTTGTTTGTGGCGCTAGCAGCGCCATTAGTTCCTTCCCACCCATGCACTGAGACAGCCAGAACTTTATCTCTTGGTGATCTCATGTTCAGACGCTCATTTCGCGCCCTTGATATGGCAAGTGTTGAGCCAGTAGGTGGTGGGGGTCAACCTGGTGTGAATGGGAACCCTCCTAAGCGTCCAGAACCGCCAAAGAGCCAAAAGGGAGTACAGAGTTGACAAGAAACATGCAAAATATAGTTTGGCGGACAAGGCGAAAGTTGTGGAAAACAGGTACTCTCCGACTTACATCCACCAGCACTTACGACCGCCTCAGTCGTACCAAAATGTGGTCAAATAATGTATTTTTGAGTCCCAAAGTCAGTACACAGACAAAATTTTCATCTGTAATTCACTTTAAAATGGCTGGCAAGCTTAAAAGTGAGTGTTTGTGGTGCTGAAAAGAAAGAGACCCAAATTTTTTATTTTCTATGAGTTATTTAAGCATTTCCGACGACCATTTCGACTTACGACCTGGATGTCGGTCCCTAACCCCGTCGTAAGTCGGGGAGTACTTGTATATCGAGAAAGGGATGAAGACCAGTGAAATTCGGCGACTAACAGGTGCACCTGAAAGCACAATAAGAACACTGAAGCAAAAGAAAGGGACTATAAAATAACAAATGAACATTGGAAAGAAGTATTTCGGCACCCACGAATGAGTGCAGACACAAGTGAATATCGCAAAATCATTGCAATAACCGAGGCGTACATTAGCAAGTGGTTGAGCAGGAGAGTGAAGGAGGATGCCAGCGTGTCCGAGACAGAGTTGCGTGAGCAGGCCAGAGTGATTTACAGTGCAGTGCGCAAAAAGGAAAACCATTTCATCTTCCCCCAGTTTCAAGGAATCTGTTGGCTGGCTTGCTAATTTTAAGAAGCAGTGTCAAGTGAAGTTGGCGAAGTATCATTGTAAAATTGCCTGTGCAGACATTAGTGGAGTTGACTCATTTCCAGCGATTGCAAAGCAGATTGTTGAAGATGGTGGTTATTCCTACGAACAAATATACGACTGTGACGAAACTGTTTTTTACTGTAAAAAGTCCCCTACTACAAGTACATGCACAAAACAGAGAAACAAGCAAAAGGCACCAAACTCGCAAGGGATAGATTCAGTGTGTTATTCACTTGCAATGCGTCAGGTTCGCATAAAATGAAACCTCTTGTTATTCACAAGTATCAAAAACTGCATGCGTACAGGAATCAAGATATGAATAAGCTTAATGTGTATTGGGAGAAGACTGCCAAAGGTTACACGGACAAAAATCTGTCAAAGAAGTGGTTTGAGAAGTATTTTATCCCTGACGCAAGGGCACACTGTAGGCGTAAGAACCTAGAATTCAAGGTGTTGTTATTCATGGACAATGCGCCTGGTCATGCTAGGTATTTGGTAGACTTCCACCCCAACGTACAAGTGTGCTTCCTTCCCTCGAACACAACTTCAGAGATACAGCAGCTGGATCAAGAACTGATAGCCAATGTTAACCTCATGTACTACCGCACCGTTCACAACCATGAAACTGACAGCCAAGTTGAACTGTTACAAATTGCTACAGTTAGTGATATTGAGAGTGAAGATGAGAACGAGTCCGTCACCCTTAAACCGTCTGCCACACCTGGACCATCTTCTGCCACCCCTGCCCATATCCTAACTATTAAGCAATTTTGGAAAAAATTTAATATTCACAATGCTGTTGACACAATGGCTGATTCGTGGCATGAGATCAATGTTCCAACAATCACACATGCTTGGACACCACTCTTCCCTCATCTCAAGGTCGAGTGTGGAGGTGCCTCAGGTGCGCAGCAGCTAGACAACGGTTCACTGTTAGCATAGATAGTCGAGTCAGTAAGGAGTGTGGGCGCTGAATTTGCTGAGGTCATTGAGGACACTGTTATGAACCTTGTGACTTTTAATTCTGAGGAAAACATAACTAAGATGCTTGAAAATGATTCTGATTCTAGCTCAGACGGAGAAGGACAACCGGAAGTGATTGAAAAATTGACCATTGTCAAGCTGGCAAAGATTCTCGCAGTGCAGTGACATGAAAGAATCACTTCAGAAATTCACTCAAGATGCCCCTGAACTACAAAATGCATTGCTCCACCTTGACAATCTCAATGATATTCTCATGGCAATTTACAACTGCAAAATTAGGGAAAAACAACAGTCTGTGATAACAAGATTCTTCCGACGCCGCCAGGATGTAGCCAACGCAATCCAGAACATTTGAGTAGCAGATGGGGCCGAGGATGGTGCAACGGCAGATGTTGAACCACTCGAGAATGACTTAGACTTTGAAGGATTTCTGGATGTGGCCCAGGATGGGTCACATCCAACTAACCCACCTCTAGCCTCGGAATCAATCCACCATCCACCCAAGCCCATCATTGCTGTGTCTTCAGTTTGTGTTTTTTCTGTTAATAAACTTTTTCTGTGTTGTTTTTAGTTTTTATTTAACTTTATCTGTGTTATTTTCGTTGGTTTATTAGGATGTTGCTTTATTACAGGTGTAGTAATTCGCCCAAAAAAGTAGGGTAAATAAGGCAATATTTAGCCAAACATCAAAAGTACCAGACTCAAATTAATTTTCTCCATAGGAAGTTGTATTTAAATTTGGAAGATTTGAATTTTGCGAGGTTTTTAGTCTAAATAGGTGTCCAAATATGAGAGCATACTGTATAGCGAACATCCTCGGACCCTATCTCGCGATATATCCCGACCCTACTGTACGTACTGGTCACATTTTCTTGGAATTTTCCAAAAAAATTTCAATTCCGGCTATTGCAGAGTTCCAGGTTTAAGGGATTCTGGCTAACTGAGATATTACTATATTGTACTGCATATAATTCACTTATTGTAAGATGTAGACATTAGTGTTATGTTGACGCTGCCTGGCAACCCCTGGTAGTGGACTGTCTGCAGCGCCAGTTGCCGCCTGTCAGACTTGTAGCATGGATCTCTACATTAAAGTTCTCAGCCGCTACACGGTGTTTCTCCTTCCCTTCAAGAAAACACCTAACACTTATTTTTCTTTTATAGCATTTTAAGACGTTTTGGGGAGGAATTTTTTCTAAGAGCATACCTCAGCTTTTATAATGAGTCAATGGGAAAATATGATCCCATTTACAAAAAGTCTTAAAGGATCAGAAGTCTTTCATAAATTATGGAATGCCTGTATAAAAACAGTAGCTTCTCTGGAGTGAAATTTTTTTGTATATAAGTGTAACTAATCTACAGGCTGTTCTGTATATTTGCTTAAAATACACCTGTATAATAAGTAAGCAGCTATCAAATAGAGAGGTATGTACTACCACCTGGGATAATGTGTTGTCTAATGGTTGACCCTGCTGTCATAAAGCATCACAAAAATTTTTACCAAGTCCCAGGTTGCTGATCTAACTTTCTGCCTCATTTACACACAATTGCAGGGTCTCAATTGTTTCTCTTACTATTGACAACACAACATACAGTATATAACTTCTTTCCTCACACAGCCAAACTGTGGAATGCTCTGCTTCTTCTGTTTCCATACTCTTACAATCTGTCTCACTTCAAAGAGCTAGTTTTCCGGTACCTTTACGGTGTAGATTAATATACGGTAACCCTTTTCTCTTCTATTTTTAATTTTGTTTTAATCTTATTTTTTCACCCCCTCGATGACCTGTGCCTGGGTGAACTATTCCCCGTAAAAAAAAAAATTATTTATGGAAGTTGCAAACACAAAGACTGATGTGTCATAATAAGTAAGATTTCTTCATCCTGCAAGCCTTTTACCACAGCTACACAAGACAGAATCAATAACAAACTTTGAGTCTCTATTCAATTCATTTAAACTGACAAACAAATGACAAACGAAGCTTTCTTGTGGTTCTCTCCATCCACAAAAAGACCCCAAGATAACCCTCTGATTTATTTCTGCTGCTTAAATAACCCAGCATCACTGCTACCCAAACCTTGTCAAAAATATGTAAGGAAAACAGTGGCACAAATCTTGCAATTTACTGTACAATAACAATCAAAGCAGCCTCACCATTAATATGAGTAAGACTATGTGAGGATAATGGAGGAGTTAATAAGACTATGTGAGGATAATGGAGGAGTTAATAAGACTATGTGAGGATAATGGAGGAGTTAATAAGACTATGTGAGGATAATGGAGGAGTTAATAAGACTATGTGAGGATAATGGAGGAGTTAATAAGACTATGTGAGGATAATGAAGGAGTTAATAAGACTATGTGAGGATAATGGAGGAGTTAATAAGACTATGTGAGGATAATGGAGGAGTTAATAAGACTATGTGAGGATAATGGAGGAGTTAATAAGACTATGTGAGGATAATGGAGGAGTTAATAAGACTATGTGAGGATAATGGAGGAGTTAATAAGACTATGTGAGGATAATGGAGGAGTTAATAAGACTATGTGAGGATAATGGAGGAGTTAATAAGACTATGTGAGGATAATGGAGGAGTTAATAAGACTATGTGAGGATAATGGAGGAGTTAATAAGACTATGTGAGGATAATGGAGGAGTTAATAAGACTATGTGAGGATAATGGAGGAGTTAATAAGACTATGTGAGGATAATGGAGGAGTTAATAAGACTATGTGAGAATAATGGAGTTAATAAGACTAGTTAATAAGACTATGTGAGAATAATAAGACTATGTGAGGATAATGGAATAAGACTATGTTAATAAGACTATGTGAGGAATAATGGAGGAGTTAATAAGACTATGTGAGGATAATGGAGGAGTTAATAAGACTATGTGAGAATAATGGAGGAGTTAATAAGACTATGTGAGGATAATGGAGGAGTTAATAAGACTATGTGAGAATAATGGAGGAGTTAATAAGACTATGTGAGGATAATGGAGGAGTTAATAAGACTATGTGAGGATAATGGAGGAGTTAATAAGACTATGTGAGGATAATGGAGGAGTTAATAAGACTATGTGAGGATAATGGAGGAGTTAATAAGACTATGTGAGGATAATGGAGGAGTTAATAAGACTATGTGAGAATAATGGAGGAGTTAATAAGACTATGTGAGGATAATGGAGGAGTTAATAAGACTATGTGAGAATAATGGAGGAGTTAATAAGACTATGTGAGGATAATGGAGGAGTTAATAAGACTATGTGAGAATAATGGAGGAGTTAATAAGACTATGTGAGAATAATGGAGGAGTTAATAAGACTATGTGAGGATAATGGAGGAGTTAATAAGACTATGTGAGAATAATGGAGGAGTTAATAAGACTATGTGAGGATAATGGAGGAGTTAATAAGACTATGTGAGAATAATGGAGGAGTTAATAAGACTATGTGAGAATAATGGAGGAGTTATCTTCATATCAAATACTATACAGTGTGTTTCAGTGACCCCTGTTGTAAGCTCGTCTTCTGCTGAAAGCTCTCACATGAATGCATCTTGAGTAAATTGTATGTATATTATGTATGCTGTATGTATATTATGTATGTATATTATGTATGTGCTCCATTTATATACAGTACATTATTTATTCAGCCTAGCTAGCAGCATGTGACAATGTATTTACCATGTCCCACACGCTTAATTAATGTGCCTGGCGACAAATGGAAGCTGCTAATGTATCACTTGCCACATGTCGCCTGAAAGGCTAGTTGACCCCCCAGACAGAGTAAGGAGCGCCACCTTCCTTGTGTACCTTCGTTTATCCAGTAAATAGAACCTACGAAAACTCTACAGGTGTTTGTGTTCGCTCCTGTAGATAGAACTTGGTACCCAGAACATATACATAAATAACCTTCTCATACAGCTTATCCTTTTATTTTCAGTCATATTACAAATTACATACAGTACAGTATTGTATTTCTTCTCTATTACTGAAGATGTTACATTAATCATGATGAACCATAAACCATAAGAGGCCAATCATATGAGAATATAATACTGAATCAATAAACAAATAAACCTGATGAATGTGGCAACACCTGATCAGCCCCAGCCTACTTACACACTCAAGTGTCTTAGTTCTCAGCAGGCCGATAACAAATCTCATTAGACCACTGTACAGTAATTAGTAAGTGTGGTTCATTTAATAAGATTTTTTTTTATTAATCTTCCCCGTATCTTAAAAAATTTTGTTTTAAGTATTTCTGGTGACCAGAGCATCACAGAGTCCGAAAAAAGCAAATTCCGAGATATTGAAGTCTGATTTATCGAGGTTTTACTGTAATTCTAAGTCAATGCTTCAAAAAGTATTGGAATCTTACTACCTGTATAAGGAAAAAGTGGCACCATATAAAATAAAATAAGAAATTCAAACTACAGTAAGCAGTACTGTGAGGGAAAAAAATAATAATGAAGAAATAGTAACCTACTGTATGCATTAAAGTGACAAATACTGTATAGTATGTCAACAGTTTGGCATGTTACCTGTTATTCTAGCATGAATATTAGTCTTCATACTGAGGTCTTCTTTCTCCCCTTTTACTTCATCCATGACTTTTAGAGCAGCACGTAGAAGCCCCATATCCAGAACTGGTAAGAGCTTCACTGGTGAGGCTAAAAGTGATTCTGCTACCTCTACATGTTCTTCAAACAAAGTCAGGAAACTGAAAACAAAACCATTTCTTAGATATACAGTACAGTATAAATTTTAACAAAAGTATTTAATTCTTTACTAGATAGTTTTGAGCATCACATGATACTTATAAAATCCACAAGAAATAAACGCAAGTAATGATTGTTTGCTATGCATTTTTCTATGTCCAGCTACCATTCATTGATGCCTCAAGTGAACGGAAAAGAGTAAATGACCCATGCCAATGTGATTATAAAAAATGAAATAAACTATACTATACTAATTCTGAGGACTGTGTGACCTAACTAGGGCTAACAAATAAAAGAGGTTTAGCATATCTGATGCAGCTGCATGAACAAGCATGAGAGAAAGTTTTGCTTCTATTCTCCCTTCTCAGGGCAATGGTTGCAGTGGGATGATATACTAATCATTTATATCAGTACCAGTAACTAATGTTTGGTTTCCCAGGTCAATGGTTTCATGGAGTTAGAGGAGACTGTAGACTCAGTAACCAATAACGTTGTTGAAAAGCGCAAGCAACTGCGACTAAATTTGAATACTGATGATGTTCAACAGTTGCTGGATTTACACTCACAACGGCTTATGAATGGGGACTTGATTGAATTAAAGGTCAAAAGGTCACAGACGAGGCTGAAGCATAAGTCTCTGAGGTTCAAAAACCCAAGAGATTCACTACCAAGAAAATGGCAGTAATTCAAATTTATAGAGGATGGCCAAGTTCTCTTTGAGGAATAAGACTGCAACTCTTCAAGGTTAAAAAAGATTTATATTGGTATGAAAGATACACATGCCTGTCATAAGAGGATCTTTGATGACAGGATGAGGGCCTCCTAACATGAATACATTGAAAGACATTTAAAAAAAGTTGAAAGGGAGCCACAGCCAACCCCATAAACTTCATCACCAGTACAGGTGCAGTATCTCTAATACTGTATCAGTAAAACCTACTCAAAACCCCCATTCACCATCCTCCCCTCCCCCATCATCATCTAATCTACCCACCTGGGATGAAACTCTCCTTCTGTCAAGTAAGTCTGCACTAACACTCAAGGTATGTAAAACAACTTGATATATATTTAATGTTACTTAATCTCATTTTATGCTTTACTAATTACAGTCCAGTATTTATTACAGGTATTTAAACTAAAACATTCTTATCACTCAAACATTGTAACAGCACCATTTGTATTATATAAATATTCACCCAAATGTATAATACTTAAATGTATAATACCCAATTATTCACTAAGTTATTCAACAATGACTCAGTAGTTATTCATGTCACACATGCTGAGGTCTATAACTTCATCAGAGGTTGAGCCACAGGTCAAGATGATTTTGCAAATACCTCGCCCGCTCCTCCTGCTCTCACGCTCTGAGAGAGAGGAGAGAGCAGGCAGACTAATATCATTTGTTACCCAGTGAACACCTCACTGAAGCGGTTCTCCTATATAAGTGCACTAAGACACTTCCCCAAGTAGAGAAGGTACAATATACTCTCAACTGAACTAAGTACTTGTGAAACTATATTTTTCTACAATAAAAAAAACGACATTGAGCATCACATTGCTAAATGTTTATCTTCTGCAAAACAAGAGAGAACAACGATGGATCCCGCTCCAATCTTAGAATACCTGAAACCGGAACGTCCAAGGGATACAGTTGCGATCAATTTATTACAACTTCCAAAAAGCCATCAAGGCTCTAGTTACATCCTTGTCTGCATTGACCATTTCTCTAGATTTGTGGTACTAGCACCATTGCAGACCAGGTTGGCCGAATCAGTGTCTCATGCATTAGTCACTCATCTAATCTGTCCATTTTCTACACCTAGAGTGATACTCTCAGATAATGGGGCAGAATTTAAGAATTAACTCTCAACTGCAATATGTCAACAATATGACATTACGCAAGCCTTCACAACCGCCTATCATCCATCCTCAATTGGGTTGGTCGAGCGTACAAATAGAAAAATTCTTGAGATTCTCCGACATGTGGTGAATCCAATGCATAGTTCGTGGGAGGACTGACTTCCATTGGTTGCAGCATCCATCAATGGATCTATAAATAGCTTTACAGGCAAATCGCCATACTACATAATTTACGGTACCGATAAATGCTTGCCATATGATTTACTAACAGGAATTCCAAATCGTGTGTACAACATGGATGACTATGCCAAGAAACAAATCAATGTTTTCACGAGCATCCATGAAAAAGTACGAAAACACTTAGCAGCCTCACGTGCTGAAATGATCTGCAAGCAACATAAAAAAGCTAAGCCTATAAAATTAGAAATAGGAGACAAAGCAACGATAAAAGCGCCGGAACGCATATCAAAACTCTCGCCTAAATTCACAGGTCCATACGTGATTAGAGCGAAAGAACATGGAAACAAATTCCAAGTAGTTGAGCCAATGTCAAATGTTACTGATATAGTACATGTAAATAGGATGAAAAAAGTCAGCAGAGACTTAGTAGGGACTCCTAATGTCAGTCAAGTACAGTGGTCCCTCAGTTAACGAATTACCTTCATAAGAATCTTCATTTCGGTTAACGAACAAAAATTCGGTTAACGAAATTCTTACGAAAATTTTTCGACATGCTTTGGCTTGCTCACCAGACGGAAGATTAGTCCGCCAATACAGAAATCGGTTCTAGGGCTTACATTCGTTAAAATTGGAGTAAATATCAAGAAGGTTGTGCTATTCAATAATTTTCCAAGTTTTATATTAAATTTTTTTGTCATTTTAACACTTATTTAACATAATTGCAGTACAGGGAACTAATTTTTGGTGTGCCAATCAGCCACTTCACTCACCCACCAAGGCCTCAGTTTGTATCTCAGTTCAGTGGAGGAAACATCTTGCTAGTGGGTCTCTTGAACACAGAGTATTTTTACATGTTTACAGTACAATTATTGGTCATTCTGAAATATATGTTACATATTGACAATATATAGTGCAGTGCAGTGTTGATTTAAAGAAAATAATCTTGAATTACACCAAGTGAACTTAAAATTTTATGGGTGAAATGACGGCATCAAGCATGGGGTGATTTCTCTTCCACCCCCACTTCCTTCTCTTCTCCCTTCTCCTCCACCCCCACTTCTAATTCCCATCATCATCATCATCATCATCAACCAGGAGCCTTCTACATACACACCTCAAAGTAAGTGTACTTTACTGCATTTTTTTTTTACTTTGTATGTAATTTTCGGTGAGCTGGAACCAATTACCCAAAATGCCATTGAAACAATGGATTTGGTTAACAAAGTTTACGGTTAACAAACGACCTTCTGGAACGAATTGTGTTCGTTAACCGAGGGACCACTGTACTGTACATCCTACTAAAACTACAACAGTTGCTCAACAAAATCATGTATAACGATGGACAATACATATCATCAAAAACTATGATCAGTAAACAAAAATTTTTAATTATCCTCGTCTCTTTCAGATATGGCTTGGATATCACTACTCCTGTTGGTCTGGAGCGCGGTGACAACAGCCGCATCCCCATCAGATGTCGTCAAACCCGGAGTTTTAGTTGCCCCACTAGGCAAAGTATTAGTAGTACAAGACGTTTTAACTGTTAAGAACGAGCTTCATGACTTAATGCGCATGCCAGTGTATCTGAGGTCAATAACTGTCCACATTAAACAGCTATGCAAACTCTGCAAGATCTCAAACAACAATCTACAATCTCTACAACACTCAGTCAGACCATCTCTCTTCAGAACGACCGAATGAACAGTCTACTCAGGCGAGTAAATCCCTTTGAGGGAAAGCTCCCTATATCTCCTGAAGACATCGAGAAGAATGTACATTTTCAGTGGCGTCAAAAACGTGGTCTGTTTAACTTTGTAGGGTTAATAAGTAACACCTTGTTTGGTGCGGCAACTGCCGAAGATGTGGCTAAATTAGGGAATAAAATGAATGAAGTTTCAGAAGCAGTTAGGAAACAAAATAGGGCCATTGAACATTCCTACAAGGCAGTACAAACTCTGACCTATCATAGGAATGCTATTGTTGATGAAACTAATCAACTAACATGCATTGTCCAGGGATTCACACGGTCAGAATCTACACTGGAATGGTTACTCTGCTTCACAAAATTTTTGCATGCAACTGAGGCCTCGGTACAAGCTTTCATAGAAACCAACAGTAGGCTCATAGCTGATCTAGTGAATGCAGGGTTAGGTCATGTTGATGCACAGTTGTTGCCAGTTGGTCAACTTATTGCCAATTTGCATATAGCTGAAACTAAATATCATCTAACTCCTATCTTTCAGGAGCATGAAGTGGAATATTATTACCCCTTATTAGAGGGGTGTGAGCAGGGCTGGTACTTGATACATTAAAAAAATTCTGTATGTATGTAAGCATTTTTGCAGCTTAATGTGGGAGTTGTTTAATATTAGTGTTAGGCTTGTAGTCCCCCGAGGGGATGGAACTTTGTCAGTCACTGGCTGGCCTTGGGAGTAGGAGGACATCTCAGTTTGTCAGTGGTGGATACCTTTTCAAATACAGTTTAGTTGAGTATTATCTATTCAGTGCTGCTCTATTATTATTTATTTTGTGTAAAGTACGATCAATAGTGATATTACAAAGTAGTTTATGGTTTATTTACTGTGCATATATTAGTGGCTTATTAAGGATTATATTTATTCTTTATTCTCTTGATTTAATTTATCTGTTCATGATGGAACCTACACACTTATTATGGTAAACTTTTATTATTAAATTTTATTTAACTTTTCATGATATGTATAATTCCAAACCTTCACTCCTGAACTGTTGGGATAAAGAGGGCTGTTTGGACCCAGGAACAAGATGTGCTTAGTTGCCAATTTGTTTTTTCTTGTGCCATATGTGCCCTCATTAGTATATTAATCTTTAAAGTAATTCAAGTTGATAAGTTATGGCATAACAATTCACATATTATTTAGGTTCATTTGGTATCAGGTTAATACAAATTTTCATGAAATAATCAATTTTCCCCCAAAATCCCGCACTCAACCCCAGATAGGCCTTTTTGCTGTAAGACTCCAGCACTCACCATCTCTCAAGCACTGCTGTTGTCACTGCTCAAGAGGGCTGGTGCTTACCACAAAATCTGTCTTTAGCACTTTATAACTAATATTGTAGTGTATTTATCAGAACTTAATAAATATTAGTGTAGTGTATAATGCATTCCAAGTGCCCTGGTTTATTCATTGATCAGTTGTCTAAGTGCACAAGGAGCCAAATTGAGCCACCATGTATCATTCAAAGGTAATAAATAATGTTGTTATGAACATAGTGCATCTCCACATTAAATACCATACAGTACTGTACAGTATCTTACACTGAACTATCAAGGGGCATTACTGTACATGATGGAATACATACACAGTACTGTACTCCTCAGTTCATTCATTCTTATCCCCAATGTATAACCAAGACCCCCAGTAAATAAATATTAGTACAGTACAGTGGTCCCTCGGTTAACGAGATTTCGGTTAACCATTTACCTTCCATAAGATTCTTAACTTCGGTTAACGAGCAATCCCTCAATTGACAAGTTTTTTACGAGCCGACTTCAACATGTTTTCGCTTGCATTTGGCAATCCACCAGCTGTAGTATTAGTCCGCCAATACAGTAATCGGTTCTAGGGCTTAAATTCCTTTCTATTTTAGTAAATATCAAGAAGTTTATACTATTCAATAATTTTAAAAGTTTAATATCAACTTTTTTAGTCATTTTAACAATTATTGAACATAATTGAAGGTAAAGAAACTAGTTTCTGGCGTGCCATCCAGCCTGTTAACACACCAGACAGGCGTTAGTCTCTCTCTGTTTTCAGTGGAGGTAACATCTTGCTTGAGACTCTTTTCAACTAAACGCTTTTCTCTGTGTTTCCAAGCAAATTATTGGTCATTTTTAAATATATTTTACATATTGACAATATATTATGCAGTGCAGTGTTGATTTAAAGAAAATAATCTTGAATTACACCAAGAGAGCTAAAATTTTATGGGTGAAATGGCGCCATGGGGTGACTTCTCTTCCACCCCAATGCCTTCTCTTCTTCCTTCTCCTCCACCCCCATTCTAAATCCCATCATCATCATCATCATCATACAGGAGCCTTCTATATACACATCTCAAAGTAAGTGTGCTTTTCTACCTTTTTTGTTGAATTTAGGCAATTTTCGGTGAGCTGGAACCAATTACCCAAAAACCCATTGAAACAATGGTTTCGGTTAACGAGCAACCTGCTGGAACGGATTGTGCTCGTTAACCGAGGGACCACTGTAACTGTATTATAGTACAGGTACAGTATTGTATTATTAATTACAGGGCAGTACATGTACTATATGAAAAAAATATATACAAAAACAAAACACATACTTTACAATGACTGAATAGTGTTCATCTTCATTGTCAGCTTCCATTATTGTAAGAATATCACATCGGTGATGCTTCAAAAAATACACTTCAAACACATCTGCAAAAGAACCATATTTGTGAGTATACAGGTAATTCCCAAGTTTTCAGTAAACAGTATTATATTGTGCATGACAATAAATGCAAGGCAGTTTACATTCAATAACTCTACAAGATAAACCATTAAACATATCAGCCATCCTTCACTCCTCATTACACCATCAGCCCTAGGTACAGTCAGCCAAAGATCCAGCGACCCCTCCCTAAGTCTTCCTGGCAATTTTACCTGGTAATACTTGGTAAAGTAAGGTTGTATGTGAAGATGATTGTGATTGGTGGATCTATTTTCGGTTGCATCACTGTCAGGATAAATATTAAATAATCCAAAGGTAGAATTATTATAATAATAAAGTATTCATTGTTATTTAAGATCATGAGAAGTTTCCAAATATTCATATATTTGGCTAAATAATGTAGAAATTATATTAATGAATTGGCAACTCAACTACAACGAGGAACAAGGACTGCCACAAGATTCTCAGATCAAATTTTCTTCATTATTTAAGCAAATATAAGAACATTTGGAAACCTCTCATGGTCTTAAATAACAATGAATAGTTTATTACAGTATAGTCTGCACTTACGCGGTCAATTGAACCCGTGGAGGTCAACGTAAAACAAGAAAAGCGTAAATGAAACAATAGAACATATGGGATTAATTGAAATAGAGACTGGGCCGACCCCCCAAACTACTGTACACTTTTTCCGACACAATACGTACGTTGTAGTAAAAATAACATCTTAATTTTATGATGGTATGCACACACAATTAATATTTAAGAGAAATATCAATAATATTAGGTTTTTTAACACTTACGTTAGTAGAAAAGATGGCTGCGCATTACTCTTCCACAATAGCTCCGGACCTCCCCAAGAAGTCGTAATCACTAACGGGTACTAGAGTTTTGGATCAACGAGCCAAGCTTGATCTGCGTGGCACACGGGGATGGGGGGTTGGTTCCGAGGCAGAGGGCAGAGTAGTTGCCCTCCGGTGAATCACTTTCACTCCTCGCTGAGGTTTGCAGGGCCTCCCTGACAAACCCCTCAAAGTCCATATCCTCACTGTCACTATCACTGACTTGGGCTGGCTGTGGTTGTGGTGGGTCGCGGGCGAGGAAGTCCTTAATACTACGTTGACGCCTAGCATTGATGTTGTCGAGATAGATCTGGATATATGGCTCCATAACTTTCGACAGATGGTTATTAGACACTTCATACCGATGCTTGTCTGGGTAGTTGTCAAGGATAAGCTTAATTTTCTCCCCCAACTCGATGATCTCCTTCACACATTCATGGCTTGGTCCAGGTAATTCAAGGTTTTTCTCGGGTGGTGGGGGTCCAGCGGAAACCATTGTGAGGGGAATAGCGGGCACAAGAGAGAACTGTATAGGCGGAATGAGAACAATGAGACTGGCCTGGCTAGGTCAGCGACTTCTAGTGGCAGGCACATCATGTTACATTAGACCAATCACAGCTAGCGGCGGAGGGAATGCGTGGGTGGTAAGGATGCGTGGCCCAATCAGTCTGATATGTCACATGACGTCAGCGATAAAGTAAGAGTGACCTAATGTGCACCACTCACCATGCTGGTTCCCGCGTATGGTCAAGAATGGACCGCGTGAGTAAAAAATGGCGCGGCGGTCTGGACCTCTCCAGCCGCTCGCCGCGTAAATGATGAAATTTACCGCGTAATAAAAACATTTCATTCTGGCAAGGCACCGGGTAAATGACCAAACGCGTTAACAAAAACTGCGTAAATCCAGACTATACTGTATTATAAAAATTCTACCTTTGGATTATTTAATATTTATCCTGACAGTAATGCAGCCAAAAATAGATCCACCAATCACAATCATCTTTACATACAGCCTTACTTTACCAAGTATTGCCAGGAAAAATTGCCAGGATGAGACTTAGGGAGGGGTCGCTGGATCTTTGGCCGACTGTACCTAGGGCTGTTACCTCTAAGGTCATCTTTGAGCTCGCAACAAGAATACGTTACCTTGACTTTACTATTTTACTTTTACTCTTATCCTCCTTGCCGCTGATTCGCTTATTAGCCAATCTTTGATTTCAAAATCACTTTGCCATAGTGAAATTCAATTCCAGTTCTGTAATTCAAGAAAGTAAGGGAGGACAGTATCAGAATTGCCTGGCTACAGGTTCCACTGGAAAATAAAATTTCAGAATCAATCCTCCATTTCAAGAAAATAACCTTAAACCAAGAGACTCTTGCAATTAAAAGCCAGTTAGACAAGTGGGAGGAGGTGTTGGAAAATCCCCAGTACAGGGATTAGAGAGACAATCATTCTTAGGAAAATCAACCCTTGATTCTCAACTATTCAGACCAGGAAGGTACTACAGTATAAATTCCCACTCTTCCCTACCTTACAGTTCTTCAGTGTTGTCCTCCAAGAAAGAAATAACCCTCAGTGTTCATAGCCCCAGTAATTAGATTACCAAGTATCTTTCTACAGATTGGTCACATGAGATTGTCTCCCACTCCACTGACTTCAATTAACCAGCAACTTCAGAAGGATTTTCTATTGAAAAACCTCTTTCTTTGACCTCTACAGTAGAACATCCCCTATAAAAAAGATTGTTACCAGCAATATCATTTTAACTTGTTTACATGATATGAGATGCTTTAAAATAGATGAACAAACCAAAATGACCTACCCTATGATGGAAGTACCTGTATATTATTCTAGGGTAGGTTTGGTAAATTAAGTTAGGTTGGGTACATTTTGGTTAGCTAAGTACTGTACAGCAAGGTTTGGAAAGATTGCTGGGAAGCATTTGTCAACAGAACTGAAAACAGGACATCCTTAGGTGAGGCAATATATTTACTAACCATAAAAATTATGAAAAACAAAATGACAAAAACTGCAATTCCTCCACCTGTTGGAATATTCAATAGGCAAAAAAAAAAAAATTTATATTTTTTCCTAAACGTGCACTGGTGAGGACAAGTCAGTATTCCAGAGTATTACCCACTGACGTTGTACCTTTAAGTAAATTCTACTTACTAAGAGAGTTTTGATGCTTTTTTACTTTTACATTTATCCTCTTTACCACTGATCGGCTCATTAGCCACTTGGGCGGTCGGTCACGTATCTGATACGCACTGTTGGCAGATATTGGGCAAGCACTAACTCCTGAATATATCAGAACCTGCTCCAGTGTTGGTCAAGTCTGGCCTTGAATGAGCTCATACTCAGTGCCGTAACAATGCTCTCTGGTAGATTGTTGCAAGAGTTCACAATTCTCACTCTGAAAAAGTTTGCCCTCACAGTTTTCTGAACTTCTATCTTCTTCAACCTTGAACTGTGACCCCTTGTGGGGCAGACGTCCACCAGCTCCAGGTATGTACATTCAACCGCGTAGTTCCCCGAGATGCTTATACACTTCAATTAGGTCACCTCTTGCCCGTCTGTAGTATAAGCTTGGCAAGTTCAGGCGCTCCAATCTCTCTGGGTAACTGAGGCTCCGTAGAGCAGGCACCAGTCTGGTGGTCCTCCTTTGGACATTTTCAATCAATTGACAGTCTCTCGCATACCTCGGGGATCAGAAGGGGTGACAGTACTCCAGACAGGGAAGCACCTCACTCTTGAAGATCTTGACAAGTGACAGACCATCCAGATATCTAAATGACATTATAAGACCCTACTAGCTTCGTCGCCTGATTCACCTTCTTCTCACAATGGCCCGAGGACTTACGTCCATTGTCAACATACACACCCAGGTCCTTTTCACATTCGGTCTCAAATAATGCAATCTCTTCATCCTGTTGGGACATGTGATACTGTATACTACCACACTGAGTTTACATGAAGAGAAGTAGAGATACTTTATTAAAAAATATGTTGACAAATACAGTGATAGCCCCGTTAGCTGGAACAATTGGTGCTAAGCACTTCCGGGGATGAGACATTTCCGGCTAACCGGACGACTTTCTCAAACCCGGAAAAATCCCCCATCCCCGGAAATATTTCCAGTTACTGGAAAAACTTTCCGAGTGTCTCAACTATGCATCTTGCACAGACAAACACTAGCCCACATCTTCAGAATGTTTCTGTGGGCTGGGAAGTTTTCTAAGAGTTTAAACTAAAAATCTATATGATATGGTCGTGAATGAAGCTGTGTGCAAAGACTGGTACAGATCCTCTCCGACTTACGACCTACTCGACTTACGACCACCCGCACTTACGATCTGCCTCAGTCGTACCAAAATTTGGTCAAATTACGTATTTTCGAGTCACAAAGTCAGTACACAGACAAATTTTTTTTGTAATTCACTTTAAAATGGCTGCAAGCTTAAAAGTGAGTGTTTTGTGGTGCTGAGAAGAAAAAGAGACACCCATTATAGATTTTCTATGTATTATTTAAGCATTTCTGAATTACAACCATTTCGACTTACGACCTGGATTTTGGCCCCTAACCCCGTCGTAAGTCGGGGAGGAGCTGTATTTTCCACTCCCTTGGAGCTGTGGGGGATTAATGGGTCTCTTGTAACTGACCTGACCTGACACAATGTCAGGTGGAGGTAGGGTGGAGTATAGGTGGTCTCATATTATTGACCTGATACAATGTCAAGTCACCCATTGTCGGGTGGGGGATTAGTGGGTCTGAGGACCTGAAGATGTCTTAAATAAACATGAAAGTTAAACACAGTATTTTTTATACTTACACTTATCACATTGTATCCATTTAACATTACATTACAAAAGATTTTAAAATGTGGTGTGAGAAAGCAGAAAGGTGTGGGTGATTAGAGAGATGGAGTGGTAACATACACCAGTGTTGCCAAGCAATAAGCTCCTCAACAGCTGATCTTTTAATTCACCACCACGTAGTTAACCACGCATAAATTAATGTCATGCAATATGAGGGTGTGTGGGTGTGATGTTGTGGTATTAATTAATAAATAAGCAATATTGCATCGTCAATGAGAGTCGTTTGAAGAATAGCAGAGTACTGCAATTGTCACTACTATTCATC